ACTTTTGATCTCATGGTTGTGAGTTCGAGCCCCACATTAGTGGTAGAGATTGCTTAAAAATAAAAAAAATAAAAAATTTTTAAGTTCTAAATACCCAGTCAGGTATAAATAATTATAGGATGCAATTTTAGAGTTGCTGGTCTGTGAGTATATGCTAGATCCTGTGAGAAATGTAAATATTTATTAAGTGCAACTCTGGTCCTTCAGATATTCATAGTTTGGTAGTAAGATGCGCACAAGTATTTAGCCATAACAAAAGATAGAAGATAGGAAGTGCATAGTTGAGGTTGAGAGCTATCTTGGGAAACAGGAGTATTGGGATCAGTCTTTGAGTTGAAACCTGAGTAATCTCATGTAGTAGTAACTACAATTTAGGTCTGTTGAAAGTACAGGATTGCCATTAAAAAAAAGAACAATCCTAAACTTTTATTTTCAGGTTCTACCAATGTAAACCCTCCTGTCTGGCTTCACAATGGAGTGTAACTTCGTAATGTGATGTTAAATGTTTTGCACAAACACATAACAACCACATGCAGCAGATTTGGCTGTAGTACCGGATTAAATTAAAATCCTTAGGATTCTAGGGCCTAAAGTAAGACTTCCATATTACTTTCTGTTTATTTTTTAGAGAGAGAACACTCGTGTAGGTGGGGGATGGGGGAGGGAGCCAGAGAAAGAAAAAATCTTAAGCAGGCTCCATGCTCAGCGGGGATTGATCCTACTACCCTGGGTTCATGACCTGAGCCAAAATCAAGAGTTGGACACTCAACCGACTGAGCCACCCAGTCGCCCCAAGACTTCTGCATTACTGAAGTTGATTTTACTTCCGTGCATTCTGTATATGTCGCTATTACCTACTTCTGAGATTGTTGAAAGGATTAGTGAAAATATACAATTACTGAAGTGCCAAGAAAAATGCTTGACACGTTGAAAGTACCTGATAAAAGTTTGCTCTCATTATTAGAAGACTGCTTTGTCTTCTAATTGGGTAATGATTCCATTGAGTAATAATAATAATAGATGAAACATTTTCATGGAATTTAATATGTGTCAGGTATTATTCTAAATACTTTACATATATTAACTCATTTAATCCTCACAAATAACCTATGAAGGTAGGTACTTTCCTGTTTTACAGAAGTGGAAACAAGGCTCTTCTGTGTATACTTGAGAATTCTCTTGTCTGGTTCTCTGAAAAGCTTTTAGGATTTTGATTGACATTGCATTGAATGTGTAATTTTTCTTGTATTATTGCTTTGGCTAGATTCTCTAGTATAGTGTTGAATTAGAAGCATTTGTCATGGTATCTTTGTTTTGTTCTGATGCTAAAGAGACTTTTGATGTTGGTCCTTTAATGCATATTTGCTCTCAGTTTTTAGGTTTTGGAAGAAGACTTTTCATCAATTTAAGGAAGTTCCCATCACTTTCTTAATTGCTGTCATTTTTGGGGGAGGTTTTTGGTGTGATTGGGCATTGAATTTTATACAGTGCTCTTCTTACAGCCATTGAGATGAATCTTACATTTTCATTCTCATTTGTTAATAATATGATGAATGGCATTTATAGATACTCTAAGCTTCTAATGCAAACCTGTCCCCCCTAGATTCCTGACATTATCCCAACTTTATCATATTACATTAAAATTTTTATTTTTATTTTTTTTAGAGGGAGAGAGACCACGAGTGGGGAAACGGGGGCAGAGAGAGAGAGAGAGAGAGAGAGAGAGGGAATCTTCAGCAGGTTCTACCCTCAGCACAGAGCCCAGCATAGTGTCCTAATCCATGACCCTGGGATCATGACCTGAGCCAAAGTCAGGAGTCTGATGCTCAGTTGACTAGCCACCCAGGCACCCCTCATTAAATTACATTTTAAAGACGTTAATGAATTTGATTTGTCTGTGTGGTTTTTGTTTTTTGTTGTTGGACTCTTCTGTGTTCATGATTTTCTTATACTGGCCATGAATGATTTATAGAGTATTCTATTTTATAGAAGTATTTGTAAACGGTTGAATTGTCTTTTACTTGAAAGTTCAGTAGGACATGGGGGTAAACACATTTAGAACTCGTGTTTTCTTTATGGGAAGATTAACCAATGATTAAGACAGACTGTTTCTTTAATAGTAATAGGATTATTCAGGCTATGTCTCTTTCTTTTAAACTAATTTAAATGGAAAATTTCAACTTAATAGAATAGTGTAAAGGAACTCCCCTATGCCTTTTCCTTTAAGTTACTGATATTTTTGCACACACATACATACTCCCTCTTTTCTTTTTTTGCTGAAGTGTTTTATACCAAATCCTAGACCAGTCATTTCACCAGAAATACTTCAATATGTATCTCTTAGTTAAAAGGATTTGTTTTAACACAGTAACTATGCTGTTATCACACCCAACAAAATTGATGATTTATTATTACTGACAACTCAGCCATATTTTATTTTCCTGATTTTCTTCTTAAAATGTGTGGGTTTTTTGTTTGTTTTTTTGCTTGTTTGTTTTTACATTTGGTTCGCAGGATCCAAATAAGTTATATCTAGTTGCCGGATCTGGTGTTTTTCCTTTTGTGTCGTTGATTGGTTGCAGAAACTGGGACATTTATCCTATATAATTTCTTTTCAATTAAGGTTTGGTGAATATTTTCTCAGGAACGTATCTATTTTTGGCCCTTGCAATTTTTTATTACTTTTCTTCAAAGAACCAACTTCTTGGGGCACCTGGGTGGCTCAGTCAGTTAAGTGGCCGACCTCAGCTCAGGGATTGTGAGTTCAAGTACCACATCGGGCTCTCTGCTGTCAACACAGACCCAACTTTGGATCCTCTGTCTCCCCTCTCTCTCTGCCGCTCTCCCTCTCAAAATTTAACATTTCAAAAAGAAAAAAAAAAAGTGCTGGGTTGCTCAGTTGGTTGATCAACCGTCCGACTTCAGTTCGAGTCATGATCTCGCAGCTGGCTCTGTGCCGATAGCTTGGAGCCTGGAGCCTGCTTCTGATTCTGTATCTCCCTCTCTGTCTGCCCACCCCTGTCCCCTGCTCGAGCTCTTTCTCTCAAAAACAAACATTAAAACAAACAACCAACCTCTGGTTTTGTTGTTACCCTCTCAGCTGTCTGTTTTTCTCTTCCATTGATAATTGCTTTTATCTTTGATCATCTTGCTATTAATTTTTTTCTAACATAACTTGGCTACTTACTACTTTTTAGCTTTATTTTAAGTTTTGAAATGTATTTTATTATTAATGTTTCTTTTGTGATTTCCTCTTTACCTTCCCACTACGTGTATATATGTACTTTAAAAATTTCCAAATGAGCACAGATCATTTTTATTTTTTCCTAAACACTATAACTAAACTGATGATGGGATATTTCCTTGTATACTCCAGGGGAAAAGTAGAATGCAAAATTGTTCATAAAATATGTATGATCTTAGTTTTGTGAATTATGTAAATGGAAACAATGAAGGAAATATACCCATATATTAAGCAGTTGTCTTTCAGTAGTGATACATTAGGGAAGTTTTATTTGAAACCTTATTTGTATTCCAAAACACCTAAGACACATTTTGTTTTTATGATGGTGGAGCACAAAATGATTTTTCAAAAGGAAAGAATAATACTATAGAAGTCTGGACTCTGAATCATGCCCTGAGATCCTGGGGTGTGATTCAGGGCAATTAAAATAAGACCAGATGCTTAAGTGTGTTGGGACATTAGGCAGAGAGTTGGTGTATAGGTGGTGAGACTGTCCTTCCCAGAGAGTTACAGTCTGGATGCAGCAGTGGGGTAAGGGGTCCTGATAGGAAGAGATAGCAGCGGGGGAGGAGAGAGAGAGACACACACACAGATAATTTCAGTGCCATGATAGGATGCTGTAAGAACAAGAAGGGCACATAGAGGAAGAGTTGTGCTTAGAAACCACGATTAATTGACCCAAGTAGGTCATTACCAAGTGGTATCTTCTCTTCAAGGGATGGACTATTTTTTGATAGTATAATCAGTTGTAGATTCAAGTATATCTAATTATTAGATACCCAATAATGCCTTGTTAATGTGAAAACTACTTAGAGAATCAAGAGGAAAGAAAATTCAAAACACCTCCTATGTATATTGAGTTAATACTGTTAGTCCACAAAGCAACCAGGGACAATTTTTACTTTTCAGGGGACATTTGGTAATCTCTGGAGACATTTTTGGTTGTCACAAAATGTAAGGGGTACTCCTGGCATTGAGAGAGACCACAGATCTGCTGAGTATCTTACAATGCACAGGACAATTCCCCTTTTCCTCCACAACAAAGAGTATCCAACCCAAAATGTTTAATAGTTCCAAGATTGAGAAACCCTGGGTTAATCCATAATTTGCATCCTCTTTTTAGTGGGGGTGGTTTGTATGTTGAAAGAGCTAGAGGCATGGTTTTTGTATCTTACTCTAGCTAGATTTTGATTAAGGAAAACTAATCTGTAGGCTGACGTCCGGTGAAAGTGAATTCATTCAGATCAGGGAATTGGTTTGTGGCAGGCACTGTGATAGGCACTGGGTAAAGAGTGGCAGACAGCCCATGTCTTCATGGAGCTCACTTTGAACGTTATGCAAATGGTGAATCTTTTGTATTCATTGTCTTTGTTATTATAACATTAAACTTCTTTTTCATTCTGTACTTAGTTTGGTTATTTTAACCTTCTCTAAGGAATTCTAGGATATTAAACAATTATATACTTTGTTTTCATGACTATCAGTACAAACCCAGCAACTCACATAATGGGTGTTGTTCTAAGATTTTTTCCTTGGCCTTTAGGTACAGTTCGTAAGTGTTTAAACCAAATATTCTCTAATTTTTAAATACATACGTAACAATTTTTTTTAGGGTAATGTGAAAAACCTCAATACAAATGGATAGTATCCCATGGAGTGAGGTTTGGAAATACTTAATGCTTACCAAGAGCAAAAACATAGAGCAATTTGTAATTTTGGTCATACTTTAACCTTTATCTTTTTTCTTCACTTTTAGATTTTGGCTCTCTCTTTGACTTGGAGCATGACTTACCAGATGAATTAATCAACTCTACAGAATTGGGACTAACCAATGGTGGTGATATTAGTCAGCTTCAGACAAGTCTTGGCATAGTTCAAGATGCAGCCTCTAAACATAAACAACTGTCAGAATTGCTACGGTCTGGCAGTTCCCCTAACCTCAATATGGGGGTTGGTGGCCCAGGCCAAGGCATGGCCAGCCAGGCCCAACAGAACAGTCCTGGATTAGGTTTGATAAATAGCATGGTCAAAAGCCCAATGGCACAGGCAGGCTTGACTTCTCCCAACATGGGAATGGGCACTAGTGGACCAAATCAGGGTCCTACGCCATCTGCAGCAGGTATGATGAACAGTCCAGTAAATCAACCTACCATGGGAATGAACACAGGGATGAATGCTGGCATGAATCCTGGAATGCTGAATGCAGGCAATGGACAGGGGATGATGCCCAATCAAGTCATGAACGGTTCAATTGGAGCAGGCCGAGGGCGACCTAATATGCAGTACCCAAACCCAGGCATGGGAAATGCTGGCAATTTAATGACTGAGCCACTACAGCAAGGCTCTCCTCAGATGGGAGGACAAACAGGATTGAGGGGCCCCCAGCCTCTTAAGGTAAGTACATTTTTGGTTTGTATGCACTATCAGTATGTTTTTGATTATCCCAATGATGGAGGGAGGGCTTGAGGTCAGTTACTCACTTATCTTTACTATTCATGTTTAGTCTTCTTACGTGGTGTACCATTTCCCATGGATGCCAAGGATCTACTATGTTGTGATGAATTTTTTTTTTAATTTTTTAATGTTTGTTTATTTTTGAGACAGCATGAACAGGGGAGGGGCAGAGAGAGAGGGAGACACAGAATCTGAAACAGGCTCCAGGCTCTGAGCTGTCAGCACAGAGCCTGACGCGGGGCTCAAACCCACAAACTGTGAGATCATGACCTGAGCCGAAGTCGGACGTTTAACCGACTGAGCCACCCAGGTGCCCCATGTTGTCATCAATTTTATGAAGCTCTTACATTAATTTTAAGTAAAACAATTATTTACAGCTCAAGGGTATTGTATAATAATACTTCAGTTCTAAATGATTGTTAGCTAATTCCTGTTTTCTCAATATTTGAATAAATATTAGAATATTTTCACAAATACCAGAATATTTTCATATCCTTTCTTTTTAATTTTTTTTAAGTTTTATTTTATTTTGAGAGAGAGAGAGAGAGAGAGAGAGAGAGAGAGAGAGAATGAGCAGAGTAGGGGCACAAAGAGAGAGGGAAAGAATCCCAAGCAGGCCCCATGCTGTCTGTGCAGTGCCAGACCTGGGGCTTGAACCTACAAACATATCATGACCTGAGATGAAACTGAGTCAGACGCTTAACCGACTGAGCCACCCTGGCACCCTGTGTTTTCATCTCATTTCTAAGCCAGCTTTAGCATGCATAGCCTCCTTATATACTATGGGGCCACTTTGGTGGCTCAGTTGATTAAGCAGTTGACTCTTGATTTTGGCTCAGGTCATAATTCTGGGTCGTGAGATCAAGCCCCTTGTAGAGTTCTGCTCTGAGTGTGGAGCCTGCTTAAGATTCTTTGTCCCTTCCCCGCGTGCACATGCTCTCAAAAAACCAACTAACCAAGCAAATAAATAAAAATACAGTTTTGAGCCAGCTGGCTTTATATTGTCTTCAGATAGACATCACTTATTTCCACTGCTTCGAATGTCCTTGGTTTTCAAGAGATACCCTAAAAGATTTATTAAATGTTATTTTTCCTTGTTAGTTGATGGATGTTAAGGTGCATTAGTTTACTGTGAAGCCTCAACTGACATTCCAGGTGTCCAGTTAACCTGATTTTGGTCATTGTTTGAAAGGGTTTTCTTTAAAAAGCCTACTTTTTTTTTTTTTTTTTTTTTTAGCTTTTATTAAGTAGAGCAGGCTAAATACATTTTGTAAAACTTTTTAAATGTGTTCTTTATATATAGAATTTATATAAGCATATATTTGTTGCTTATTCCTTCATATTTTTCCTGCATTTTTATTTATTTTTTCTTGAAGTGGTATCACACTACAGTTGCCAGCACCTGGTATGTGGCTGGTAAATAGTTGTTGAATGAAAGAGATGGTTTTGCTTGGAAGGGGATATTGGGGATAGGCAAGATTTTCACAAGGAGTTGGGAGCAAGCTTTCACTGTAAAAGAAATAACTGAGCAAGCATTGGGACTTCTGTGTTCCTGAAAATTGTGATGAGATGAGAGAGAGTTCAGGGGTGAATTGGGAATGGGGAGACTGAGGTCATGTTAGATATGTGAAAGCCCACCCCCCCCTTTTTTTTTTGCTATACAGTACAGAATACTGACCTCTTAGGGAAATTCCTACCTCCTCTGTAGATTATCCCTTTTTGATGCTTTCATGTTGCTGTGTCGATATGGTTTACTTAGAGTATTTGGAGTGAAAACCAGAAGCAAGAAGGTAAAATGTTTATTAGATACCTCTTCTAGGTTCTAGAACATAGTTGTGAGGAGTCCTTACCCTCCATTATTGTTATACTCCAGTGGGGAGAGGTGGTGTGACAGACTAAACCTTCACTGATTGATCAAATATTTACTGCATCCCAGCTTTGGTGCTCCAGATAGAGCAGTGATTAAACTTACTTCATAGATCTTACTTTTTTATTAGTGTGTACATAAGTTGTAAGTTTATAGTATTCTAAGTATTGCTATGAAGAAAAATTTAAAAAGGAAGGTCTCAGGGGCTCCTGGCTGCCTCAGTCCATAGAACATGCAACTCTTTTTTTTTTTTTTTTTTTAATTTTATTTATTTTTGAGAGAGAGAGAGAGACCGAGCCCGAGTTGGGGAGGGGTGGAGAGAGAGGGAGACACAGAATGTGAAGTAGGCTCCAGGCTCTCAGCTGTCAGCACAGAGCCTGAAGCGGGCGGGGCTTGAACTCAAGAACTGTGAGATCATGACCTGAGCCGAAGTTGGACACTTAACTGAGCCACCTAGGCTCCCAGAACGTGCATCTTGATCTCGGGGTTGTAAGTTCGAGCCCCACTTTGGGTGTATAGATGAGTTAAAAGTAAAATCTTTAGAAGCAAAGAAAAAAAATGGAAAGACTCATTGGGATTGGGGCACTATTCTATTTATAATCTAAATCACAATTTCTTACATCAGCATTGTTTCAGGGACTGGATATATAGCAGTGTACAAAAGAGACAAAAATTCCTGTCCTTGTGGAGCTTCTGTTTTCCTGGGGTGGAGGAATTGAAATATAAAAATTCTATTATTAAAATATTTTGTTATTTAAATGAGCTCCATCTAAATAAATAAAAATATTTTGTTATTTAAATGAGCCACTGGGTGGCTCAGTGGCTTAGGCATCCAACTTTTGATCTCAGCTCAGGTCTTGATCTTAGGGTTGTGAGTTCAAGCCCCATGCTGGACTCTGTGCTGAGCATAAAGCCTACTTAAAACAGTGATAATAGGGGCGCCTGGGTGGCGCAGTCGGTTAAGCGTCCGACTTCAGCCAGGTCACGATCTCGCGGTCCGTGAGTTCGAGCCCCGCGTCGGGCTCTGGGCTGATGGCTCGGAGCCTGGAGCCTGTTTCCAATTCTGTGTCTCCCTCTCTCTCTGCCCCTCCCCCGTTCATGCTCTGTCTCTCTCTGTCCCAAAAATAAATAAAAAACGTTGAAAAAAAATTAAAAAAAAAAAACAAACAGTGATAATAATAGGGGCACCTGGGTGGCTCAGTCACTTGAGCATCCAACTCTTGATTTCAGCTCAGGTCTTGGTCCCAGGATTGCGGGATCAAGCCCATGTGGGGCTCTGCTGTATGTGGAGCCTGCTTAAGATTCTCTCTTTATCCCTCTGCTGCTCTCCTCCGCTCGTTCTCTCGCGCACTCTCTCCCTCTTAGAAAGTATTTAAAAACCAATAATAAATAAATGAATCGCACTTATATTTTGTAAGTTGATATTTGTCAAGCACTTAGCGCAGTGCATAAGAACCCTAAATGTTTATTTAGCAAATGAGTTTTTGGGAATTGTGGAGGTTTAGGATGAGATACCCAGTTAATGTATAGATTAGTATACAAGTATAATATAAAATGTACTTTTATAAAATGAGTTTTCTCTTTATGGCAGGAAAAAAGCCCTTTCTATATTTTCCTATTGAAGATTAAAATAAATGCAAGTCAAGGCATTAAAATTGTTGGCTAGCAATTCCCCTTCCATGGGACCAGGTCCTAAAATTACCTCAAAGGGTCAATTATATTCATTACTTTTCTTCCAAAATTCCTAAGAGTTCCAGTGATGTTTAAGAATCAGGAATTAAGGAGGCTTTCAGTGAGACTTGAAGATTTGAACCCTGTTGGCAAATGGCAGTGGTTTTTTTATACAGTTCTTTTTATGGATGAATCTGTGGTTCAGAGTGTGCAGGCAGGTTGTGACATTACTACTTACAACATTCTTCCAAAAATTTGGCAAACTGGTTTATGGAAGGAAACTTGGATCATACACCCTTTTAACGTAGCCTTTGATTTTGCAGTTAGCATAAAATAAAGACAAATGTTGTCAGGAGGGTTCAGTGAGGGGCAGAATAGTGCACACTTTTTTTTGAACCATACTACCTGGATTAGAATCTGGGCTGTTAACATAAGCATCCTCCTCTTCTGCTGCATATTGGCAAAGCTTGGTTAAGTCATTTCACTCTGTAATAATTTCACAAAACTGTATCTGCGTCCTCAAAAATGCTGGTGACAAAAGAAGTAAACTTTGAGAATCTTTTCCCTAATAGCTACCTTCTGTGTATGAAGAAAGATGAAGTTAATAAAAGCATCATAGTTAATGGTGTGGACTATGGAGCTTTACTGCCTGTGTTAAAAATGAACTCAGTCACTCACAGAGTAAGCTATTACCATGGGCAAGTTGCTTATTGTACTTCAGTTTTCTCACCTATAGAACGGAAATAATAAGAGTGAATGTAACCTACCTCATGGGATTGTCGGGGAACTATAAACGATTAGTAGAAGTAAGCCCTTTGTGAAGGGTATGTAGTAAGGACGTACTTGTAGAGTGGTAATAGTGGTAGCAAGTGCTTAGTATTATTGTAGTTTCCATTTTGTGATGTTCTTTTTTTTTTTTTAATTTTTTTTTTTTAACGTTTATTTATTTTTGAGACAGAAACAGAGCATGAACGGGGGAGGGTCAGAGAGAGAGAGGGAGACACAGAATCTGAAACAGGCTCCAGGCTCTGAGCAGTCAGCACAGAGCCCGACGCGGGGCTCGAACTCACGGACCGCGAGATCGTGACCTGAGCCGAAGTCGGACGCTTAACCGACTGAGCCACCCAGGCGCCCCTAGTGATGTTCTTAAAAACATTTTTGTGGGGGAGGGGGAGAAATCAAATCAAGATCATGTAATCTTGTAATGGAGAAGCTGTAATCTTCTAGAGACGTAGAATCTTGTAATCATGTAATCGAGAAGCTGTAATCTTCTAGAGACGTAGCTCTATAAGATTATAGAGCTATAGATTAAGATTATAGACGGCTATAAGGGGAGATGAAACAACCCCATGAAATGGCTGTTGGCTGGAGGATATGGGAATGCCCACCAGTAGAGACTTCA